TAGTAATTTGGAATAACATAACGTTTTGAATTAGATATCTTATAAAATATATTTACTTTTTACGTACTTATTTTTTATATAAGATATTTCTTTACAATTTCTCATAGCCAATCTCTCAGCGGTACACCTATTGATGAAATTTTATTGAACTTGGTTTCATGCGGCGTCTTAACAAATAACAATTTTTATTAGGACGTCCAGTAATACGATCAATTAATGTAACCAAGGTCTACTCGTAATGTAGCACCTAAAGATGTTCTATACAGATCACAATGGCTAACAAAAGTAGAGTCATCCCTAAGATGTGTACATCATTTAAAAAAAAACATCGATGATATTGACAGCATTGGAAACGAGTAATACGTGGTAGCATTAGTCATTTCATTTGTGCAGTACATGTTCGATGACAACATATTCAGAGTAATTCAACCAGAAACGCATATTTTTAGAAATAATGTTGCATATTTTTAGAAATCATGTCGTTTTATTATTATTTTTTTTTTTTTTGTTAATATTACTATTCTTTCAAATTTATTTTTACAGCATCTTTAATGCTTCAAAAAAATAATATTTGTAACATAATAGTTTTATTATTTATTTTATAAAATGTCATATTGCAAAAGTTCCATAGAGATTATTACTATTATAGGTTTTTTTTTATAAAGATACAAAAAAGTTATAAATTGTCGGCCACATTCTGGAAAGATTTACATACATAAACTTGCATACAAATTTAACCTCGAAAAGTAAACATAACGTTTCTTTGTTTTCGTTTGATAAAAATGTAGCTCTTGATTTATTACGTATTCATACTAATAATATATTCATTACGTTTTATACTATTTCATTAATATATACACGTAGTTTCAATGTTTTATCCAAATTATAACTGATATTTGTAATTTCAGATAAACCCTGATATAAGGCATCTTTTATTTTCGATACTTTATTAATAAATCTTAAATATTTTTAAATTTAAATATAATTTGACTATCAAATTTTTTAAAGAAAATTTCATTAGAAAATTAGGATTAAATTCAAAGATCAAATATTTTTCAAATAAATTTGATTAATAATTCTTATTAATTTTCATTTTATTCCATCGTATCTCGCAATCATTTTTAATTATGACTTTGTGATCTGACAATACAAAGATATTTCCAGTAACGCGATAGTCTTTTTTATTATGCTATTTACAAGATTTATATCATATTTGCGTTCATGACTATGCAGAGATTAACATATAAACTTCCCGTCATAAATTTGCATATGCAACTTTCTTTACTATATTCGAATCAGTTTGAAATCATTCGTACAAATCATTTACATTCATTTACAAATCCCAGTAGCTCGCGTTTCTATATTTCTTACGGCTTCTGCACAATCATACTGGCTGATAATACGAACTCATTATCAAGAGAGGAAAAAAGGACTTCCTTCCTCACAGTCGCATTTACGCAGAAACAGACTGACACGTGCGTCCTTTCATATAGACGAGAGTGTAACGAGGAGAGTCAGATAAAGCCAATCATCCGCAGGACATTGCGGCTAACGTGACGACGTTTCTTTCGGAATTGTTAACCATTATTCCCGCCTTTTGTGCAACATTAGCTTCTATAGTATTTCGACAGAAATGCGCAGCGCATTATCATAAGATGAATCGCAATTTAAAAGTAGCTATTGGATGTTATTGATACGATGTTGTGGAATAAATAACATTTCTCTGTTAAAATTATAAAAAAAGATTATCAATTATCTGATAAATTTTAGCAATACAGATATAAGAGAAGCAAAAGTCGTGTTTAAATTATACAAATTAATAATTTTGATTTTTTTTTAGTAACGGCCAGTAATAAACCAATTATCTCGCCCAATCAAGATCAAATCGTAATTAATGAAGGAGAATCTTTAGAAATTACATGCACTGGCTCCACACCAATTAAGTTTATTTATCCCAATGAATTTGGAGAATCGGTATGCACTATAAATTTTATTTATAAGCTAATTTCCGACATTACTTATTCATCGCTTAATTATTATCGCTATATCTTATCTTACATTTGAAGTTACAAGTCCAATTACATTAGAAGGATTGGAATATTTTTTATTCCTATATAAAAATTGTTTAAATAATCAATAATCTATTACAAATTAAATAATTTTGATGAATTGTTTATTACACTTTTGTAGTTATTACACATATATAAAGCTCTTTCATATAATTATTATCTAAATAGTTTAGTAAGAGAAATTTATATTTTTTCTTTTACAGGTAAACAAATTTTGAGATATATTTTCTAAAAAACAATATTATTGTACTCTCTTATAAAAATAAAAGTTGCATTAAAACTTACAGTATTCCTATCTTAAATTTTTAACATGTAGGTATATCAAAACTTGTATTATTCTGACAGGTTAATACTTCAACCCCTAAAAAGACCAAAGAAAACGACGAATTTAATGACATTTACAAATACGTCTTTCAAAGGCCAAACACCGTTTTCGGTGATACAGGCTGGTATGGTTGCGCCGATCGCAATGTTGAAATTATTACAAATTCCTACAAGAGAGAGGATCCCGAGGTGAACTGGTTGTACGTTTACGTAAAATGTAAGTGTTTACGTATAATGTAAATCAAATCGCGTGCATCTCGTTAATATGCAGATCAATGAAGAAACATTTGTGCTTGCATCTTACTTGCCATATTTGCGTTCTCCATTGCATTCAATATTCTTCACATTGTTGCAGCCAATACAAATTTATTTGTTGAAGCGGATACTTATGCCCATCTGAGTGCTGTTGCTGGCGGTAGCATCGTAATACCATGCAGACCTACATCGCCAGATCTAATACCAATTTTGTCCGACAATAATGTGAGTATATCACAGATAAATTAGCAGAAGATAATTTGCAATAATTTAAAAATAAAGTTAAATAAAATTATATTCGGTTCTAAACGATTAACACATAGATTCAAAAATTTAAAAACTTTAAATGTGTTAAAAATATACATATATCAATATATTTTGTCTTCACGCTTAGAGCCAGGGCACACAAAAAAAGTTTAAACAATAAAACGTAATAAAGCGGTAAACAAATTATTCGCAGTAGAAACCGCAGTAGAATAAGATCATAATGTAGCCAATAGCAATCTAACATTTCATTTCTTTATTGCTTAGATCTTTCTGTTTAAATTTTTCCATGTTATGATTCGACCCTTGTAAAACGTGCAGTTACGTCATAATAAAAATTCAATGAGAAGAAAAGAAAAGAATATAGATTTGACATGTATATATTATATCCTTGTTTATAGATTCATTTTAGTTATCTTTTTAGAACAGTTTTAATTTTTTATATCACATTTAAAAAATAAATTTAAAAATTATTGTAGAGTAGAATTTTACAAATTAAAAAGTTAGTATGTTATTTCGCTCTTAAAGTTTTTTTTTCTAATATACATTATAAATTGATATCATGATAGAATTTAAAAAATAGCTAATCTTATTAACTTGTTATTTATTAGAAAATATTTCTAAAATCTTTCAACTTTAATGCAGGAAGAAGAATTAAAGAATGCATCATTTGATCCCAGAATGGGTTTCACGATTAGAAATTTACTAGTAAAGGATAGCAATTGGTACAAGTGCTCGATAGAGAAGGACGGCGAGGAGCACGCGGTCAATTACGTATTGTCCGTGCATTGTAAGTGTGGTCTCGATTCGAGATGTTAATTTAGTCACATATATTATGTAATATATGTAAGTATATACAGAGAAGAACTTGGAAACTGCAAATACTTAACGAAAAAGTTAAATAAAGCTGATGATTATTTATCAAAAAAAATTATAGCAGTCTTGAAACAAAAATACTTCAGTTATTTGATTTTAAACAACAATAATTAACATTCATATAATCATATTAATACAATTTTATATAAAAAACAAAACTTTTGTATTGTTCGGAATTATCTGTTGCCACGCGGAATAATGTCGAATCTTGAGTCTTGTATTTTTGTTTAAAATTATAGTTAATACTGATAATATATAAATGATAATTATTTTAGTTTAAAGCCAATATGCTTTAAATAAGAACTTCTATATAGTTGATAAATAATCATTTATTTAACTTTTCTCTTAGATATTTGCAGTTCTCTTTCCTATATATGACATTCGACCACTTCATAATCTTAATCATTCAAATTTCATGCTAAAACAATGTCGATTGTTCCGTTTAATAAAAATGATTAAATTATTTGCACAGTAAAACAAACCTTACCCTATCCAAAAATTCAAGATGAGAGTCTTCTGCACATCACACGCGGAGAAGATCTTTACGTAAATTGTACTGTTGAAGTAGAGATGTCGATGAGATATGTATTCGATTGGAATACGCCGCAACAGGTAAATACATCATTAGCGTAATAAAAAACAGAATTAGAGTAAAATTAAATCTTAATTATGAATGTACAATTGGTATATAAGTGCTACATTACCTCAATTGGTAATGTAGAAAAAAATCTGCGCAACTAGTAACGAGGAGAATTTCTTCTTTCCACAGATTCTTTTTTATATCTTTTTTAACCAGTTTCTAACATAATATGTTAATTATTTTTATTATCTTTAGAAAAATAGGAGAAAATTTTTTAACACCGAAGTTAATATCACTAATTATTTATTTTTTCATCAAATATAAAAATTAGAAAACAAAATTCTAATTTGGAGGCTCTAAGAGAGAGACTTTTCACTCTCTTACCTAAAAATTGAAAATGCATATCTTAACGTACAAGCACAGGTTTTCTAGATCTTTTCGATTGCAATATTTATTATTCGCATATACACATGTGACCTTGTTTTTTTATTTGTAGAATAGCAGTAGAATAAGTACCCAACAATTCAGAAAACATCTTGACGGGAATTCTGTCTTAGTTACGTGTCAGTTGACGATACTTAACGTAACGGACGAGGACGCGGGAGAATATGAATGCGTCATTAGGTCGATTCATGACATCAAGAAGATAACGAAGAATATCACGATACACGGTTAGTTTATTATTACCTTATTATCAGATACATATAACTGAAGAACTTATATTTGTGATAAAACTCTATATATATATATGTATACATGCAATAAATCTTAATTGGCTGCAAGTATTATAAAACAGATATATACATATTTTTAAAAAATCATGCAATGCGCCATTACAATGCTCAATATAAAATTAGTGCAAATTTTGTGTAGAGTAAGTGATTCAACAATGAACCATGTAAATTTCAGAGGCTTATACCTCTTTCAATTATTGAATTAAAAATTTGAGTTTTGGCATACAGTTTATGAATTTAATTATAGTAGGCTACAATTTACATTGTAAACAATAATTTTTAAGTTATTTTTTAAATTTAGCCACAATTTCGATTATTTAACAATTCGAGAAGTGGTTCATTGTATACAAGGGGTGTGTACAGAATGAACCATGCTATTTTTAATAATAAACTACATGTTTTATACTGCAAATTGTTGGGTTTATTTTAGTTTTGCTATATTTTAAAATGTTTATTTAGAAAATAGATAATTATAAGATGGTGAGAATTCACAAGGCCGACCATTGTGTTTTTCTTTCGTTTTAAGTGAAACCGCGTTAAATGAGTATATTTTTATTGAGATTTTAGGTAAGGGGGGGGGGGGC